CGACTCAATGGCACCTAACAACAACAAAATGGTGTGACACTGTAGGATAAAGCATTGAACTGCAGTGTTGATTTGAATCATAAGGTCAGTGATTCAAACTCACCAGCTGCTCCTTGGAAACAGTATATGAGGTCTCTATGAGTCAAACTGACTCAGTGGCACTTGTCAACAACAACAGCATGGGCAAAATATTGAATGGTGCAGGAAGCGTCAAAAGAAGATGGAAGGGATACACAAAGCCACTGTCCAAGCTTCGTGGAGGACATTGGTAAAAAACACGTCTCCAGGAATTGATGGAATATTAATTGAAATCCTTCAACAGACTGTTGAAACACTTGGAGGTGCTTATTCATCAATGTCAAGAAATTTGGAAGACAGTTACCTGGCCAACTGATAGGAAGAGATCCACATTTGTACCCATTCCAAAGAGAGGTGACCCAACAGAATAAGGAGGTCCTCAAACAATTAATATCACATGCAAGTAAAACTTTTCTAAAGGTAATTTAAAAATGGCTATAACAGTACGCCAACAGGCAGCTGCCATACATTCAAACCGTATTAAAAGAGGCATAGACTTAGGGATATCATTCCTAACATCAGATGAATTTTGACTGAAACCAGAGAATACTAGAAAGGTGTTTACTTGTGCTTTATTGACTATGCAAAGTCTTTTGACTGTGTGGATCATGAAAAATGATGGATAACTTTGTGAAAAATGAGCATTCCAGAACACTTAAATTTGTTCATAAAGAACCTATATGTAGACCAAGAGACAGTCATTTGAACACAACCAGGAGATACTGAATGGTTTAAAATTAGGAAATGTCTGTGCCAGGGTTGTATCCTTTCACTGTACTTTTCAGTCTGCATGCTGGGGTCCTGATGTGGCACTGTGGGCTAATGCACTGGACTGCAAAGTCGGTTTGAACCACAAGGTTGGTGGTTCAAGCTCACCAGCCACTCCTTGGAAACCTATACAGGGTCGCTATGAGTTGGAAGTGACTACAACATGCTAAACAAATAATCTGAGAAGCTGAATTATATGAAGAAGAATGTGGCATCAGAATTGGAGGAAGACTTATTAACAACCTGTGATATGCAGATGATACAACCTTGCTTGCTGGAAGAGAAGAGGACAAAAAATACTTACTGATGAAGATAAGACTACAGACTTCAGTATGGATGGCACCATAACTTAAAAACCCCAAGAATCCTCACATCTGGACCAATAAATAACATTATGATAAATGGAGAAAAGACTATCCATACCATGTTTTCCTCTTTTAAATTGAGGGTTAGCAAGCTTTTCTTATAAAGGGTCAGATAAGTATTTTAGGGTTTGCAGGTCATATGGTCACTGTCATAACTGCTGTTGTAGCAGAAAAGTAGCCATAGTCCGTCTTAAGTGAATGAGTGTTTCTGTGTTACAGTAAAACTTTATTTACCAAAGAACACCGCAGTTATAACAACCACTGGCTGTATCTTTATCTGTTTCATTTGTTAATATGAGTAAAGGATTCTGTAATTAAATAAATTTGGGAAATGACATTTCCTACATACAATTTAACATCCATTTTTATCTGTGAAAGATTCACATCTTACCTTGTCACTTCATAACTGCATGTGATAAAAATCCCTGCTTATCTCTATTTTACATGACACTTCACAGCGTTTATAGGACCCTGTTGTTGTTGTTGTTTTCACAATAACTATTAAGCTTCCTTGCTGTAGTCCACTGTGCACACTTGGGATACTTGCATCTTGTGTGTCTCTTTTATAGATAAATAAACTGTGGCTCCAAGATAAAGTACCCATCAGATGACTCCTTCTAGATGTCTGCAAACCTAGACTCCCTGTCTCCTCACAGTATCTTCATCTCTGTCTATAAACTGTAACTCCTGATTGACTCTGTAATCTAGGAAACCTGCTGAAGAGTCTACTCTAGACTTCTCTTCAGCTGCCTTCTCCTTCCCCACCCATACCCCATCTCACTTACCCAATGTTTCCTCTAGGTCTGTTACTTCAATGTTTCCTTTCCACTCCATACTCTTTACTACTTACTTCCCAGGCATATTTGACCAAAGAACTAGTTTTTTGTGTAACAAACTATAGTTCTGCAGGTGGGAAAAAAAAATGACATTCCAGGCATTAGGAGAGGACACCAGCAGCTGCCTTTTGTGGTAGTTACCACAGTAGCGTTCACAGTCTCCAGAGTACCTCATCAGGGTGTGTGGTGCCAAGCCAAGACTGTGATGTGGATTGAGAGAGATTTGTGACCAACTGGTGGCTTCCTTTTATTTAACGTTAGGATATAAAAGCCCCTGTATTTCTAGAGCCATGGAATTTTAGTTTAGGAAGAAATCTTTATTTTTAACTTCCTGATTTTACAAACAAAGGCCCAGAGACTTGGCAAATTAGAGAGAAAGCATAGATCTCTTCCAGTGAAGTATCCTCTCCACTCTGCCCCCAGTCTCTCCTGCCAGAAATAGCACCTTGGGATTATAAGAGTCTTTGCTGAGCATCTTATCAGTGAAAGTGCTGAGGCCCAAAGAGGCTTCAGTGATGTCAGCCAAACCCAGCCCGGACTGGGACCACAGAGAAGCAGCAGTTCAACATCACCTCATTAGTGCTCTATTAGTGAGGTCCCCTAAATTCAGAAATAAGAGCTTAGAATCTTCAGAAGAATTTCCTAAAAAGGTGTACTCCTCTCTGAGCACCAGAACCATCTTGTATAAAGTGAGAAGGTTGGGGATCACCTGGATTCCGTAGAACCATTCCATTTAATGATCCCCTCGGGACACAGTCTTATTCTTGTGTGGCTCAGGTTTTTTCCTGTGAACACAGATGTGACTCTTCCAGAGGATTCAGAGGTAGCATACATTGTTTGTTTGTATGACTTCTTGGCACTGATTTATTAGCTTTTAGCATCCCAGAAGCTGGAAATCTCTGAATGGTGCTTTACATGAGATTTTCAATTCAAAACTTGATGGGGAGATGATGGTGGGAAGTCCCAAAAGGGAGAGAATTATAAAGGGAAAATTAGAGAAAGCAAGACAAAGAAAGATGAAAACATCAGTAGAAGATACCCTGGGGTGTGGGGCGAGGAGACAAAAAAGCAAGAAGATGGAGGCTAGCTGGACCCCTGCCTGTCTCACAGCAATATAGCCTCAGAATCCCAGGCCATCAGAGTTGAAAAGGATCCCTTAAGAGATCATCTGGTCCCAACCTGTTATTGTATATATGAGAAAGTCCTGAGAACCAGAGAAACAAACAAACAAAAAATGATCGGAATCACATATGTAGCCCTGTGCATCAAGACTGAGAAAGCTGCCTCTGGGCCCAGGGCTCTCTGGGAGGAGTCCTATTGTCTGTTTCCATCTGTGTTTCCAGCCTGGATTCAGCTCATCCTTGTCTGGGGAGTCGTGACTGGGACGTGCTGCCTTCTATCCATGCTGTTCTATGAACTAATTGGAAGTCTTCTCTTATTGCCTTGGTACAGGATACACTGCAGGGACACCATACAAGGTCCCACCAACCCAGAGTAATACTGCTCCACCCCCCTACTCCCCATCACCCAACCCATATCAGACGGCCATGTATCCAATCAGAAGTGCCTACCCCCAGCAGAATCTGTATGCCCAGGTAAGTACATGGGAAAGCCTGTGCTTCTGTAGGTAGAAGGAGTCGCCAACCAGGTGGGGTGGGATCAGATGAGATGAAGAAGAGAGGGAAGGAGAGCTCATGGCTTGGCTGTGTGTCACTACAGTCTTTCTACTCCCTCCCTCCATCTCAGCCCCCCAGAGGTGTGAAGCAGGAAATCATTTAGAACCCAGAATGTCAGAGGATAAGGTCTTAGAGATCATTTAGCTCAACTCCTTTGTTATGCAAGTGTGGCAGTTGACACCCAGTGACAGGAGTGACTTGTCCAAGTGAGCTATTGGTTGACTCAAGGTGAGCCTCCTTATACCTAGGTATCTCTCCCTACACTTTCCATCTACCTTCCCTGGCATCTGTGAGCCAAGTGATAAGGAGACTAGTACTCAGGATCTGCCACCAGTGCCCTATATGACCTTGGGCAAGTGCTTCTCTTTTTCTGTGTCTTGGTGCCCCCGTCTGGCCTCTGAAGGGATGACTGTGAGTTTATGGGAAAACTCTATTCTGTTTTGTTTTTCCATGACCTTTTTGAAACCCCCTCATATGAAGCACCAGCATATACAGGGCACATTTTTTGGGAGTAACAATTCTACATGAGGTTTAAGTGATAAGGAGAATACTTTTTAAATTAAAAAAAAAAAAAAGTCTACCTCTCTCTGTCAGTTTATCGTACTGTCTTGGTTTCTGTGTTGCTGTGATGCTGGAAACTATGCCACCAGTATTTTAAATACCAGCAGGGTCACCCATGATTTCAGCTGAGCTTCCAGACTAAGACAGATTAGGAGAAGAGAGGTGGACTACTTCCAAATTTTAACCACTGAAAACCTTATGAATAGCAGTGTCAGAAGAAGAGTCCCTCAGGTTGGAAGGCACTCAAAATACGACTGGGGAAGAGCTGCGTCCTCAAAAGTAGAGTTGACCATGATGATGTGAATGGAGTAAAGCCTTCGGGACCTTCATTTGCTAATGGGGCACAACTCAAAATGAGGAGAAACAGCTACAAACATCGATTATAATCAGAATATGGAATGTTGACAGAAATGAAATGGAACATACATACATCAATATCCTAGGATTGTTGTAATGGACTGGTATTGGCCATTGTGAATCTGAAAATCACACAGTTTACTATGTTAGGAATGACAAATTGAAGATGAATGATGTCATATTCATCATTCAAAAAAAAGACCATTTCAAGATCTATAGAAGTATAATGAACATTTCAAAGTCTACAGAAGTATAATGCTGTCTGTGATAGGATAATATCCATAGACCCACAAAGAAGACCTGGTAATACCACTATTATTCAAATTTATACACCAGTCACTAAAGCCAGTGATGATGAAATTGAAGAATTCTACCAGCTTCTCCAGTCTGACACTGATCAAACATGCAATAGAGCTGTGTTGACAGTTACTGATAATTGGACTGCAAAGGTTGGGAACAAAGAGGAAGGATCATTAGTTGGAAAATATGGCCTTGGTGATAGTAACGATGCTGGAGATCACATGATAGAATTTTGCCAGGCCAATGACTTATTCACTACAAATACCTTTTTTCAACAGCATAAATACACATGTACCCACCTAGATGGAAAACACAGAAATCAAATTGACTATCTCTCTTGAAAGAAATGGTGGAAAAGCTCCATATCATCAGCCAAAATAAGGTCAGGGCAGACTAGAACAGATCATCAATTGCTCATATGCAAGTTCAGGCTGAAGTTGAATTTTTTTAAAGTCCACAAAAGCCAAAAGATGACCTTGAGCATATACCACCTGAATTTAGAGATCATCCCAAAAGCAGATCTGATGCATTAAACACTAATGACTGAAAACCAGAAGAGTTGTGGGATGACATCAAGAACATACAGGAAGAAAGCACACAGTCATTAAAAAGACAGGAAAGAAGGAGAAGATCTGAATTTATGTCGGAAGAGACTCTGAATTTTGCTCTCCAGCTGAGATTCTAAAGCAAATGGAAGAAATGAGGAAGTAAAAGAGCTGCACAGAAAATTTCAAAAGGCTGCTCAAGAAGACATAGTCAAATATAATGAAATGTGCAAAGACTTGGAGTTAGAGAACCAAAAGGAAAGAACTTGAGGTAAAAATTCAAGTCTCAATTTGAAATGCTGAAGGATTTCAATAGTGGCATTGAATGATGCAGAAAGCATCAAAAGTAGATGGAAGGAATACAGAGTCACTATACCAAAAACAAATGATTAATGTTCAGCCATTTAATGAGTTAATAACTGAATCAAGAGCCAGTGGTACTGAAGGAGGAAGTCCAAAGTACACTGAAGACATTGGCAAAGAACAAGGCTTCAGGAATTGATGGAGTACAAACTGAAAATTTTCAACAAACTGATACAGCACTGAATGCACTCATCTAAGCCAAGAAATTTAGAAGACAGTTACTTACCTGGCCAACTGATAGGAAGAGATCCATATTTATGCCTGTTCCAAAGAGACCCAATGGAATTTGGAAATCATTAGACAATATCATTAATGTCACATACAAGTAAAATATTGCTAAAGTTAATTCAAAACGGCTTCAACAGTACATTGATGGAACTGCCAGAGGTTCAAACCAGATTCAGAAGAGGATGTGAATTGAAGGATATCATTGCTTACGTCAGATGGATCTTGCCTGAAAGCAAAGAATACCAGAAAAATGTGCTTTATTGACTACGCAAAGGCTTTCAACTGTGTGGATCATGACAAGCTATGGACAACATTGCGAAGAATGAGTATTCCTGAACACTTAATTGTGCTCATGAGAAATCTGTACATAGACTAAGAGGTAGTCCTTCAAATAGAATAAAGGAACACTGAATGGTGTAAAATCAGGAAAGGTGTGTGCCAAGGTTATACTCATTTACCATACTTAATCCCATATCTGTATGTGGAGCAATAATCCAAAAAGCTGGATTATATGAAGAAGAGTGTGGCATCAGAATTGAAGGAAGACTTATTAACTGCCTGCAATATGCAAATGATACCACCTTGCTTGCTGAAAGCAAAGAGGACTTAAAATACTGATGAAGATCAAAGACCAAAGTCTTTGGTATGGTTTGTACCTCAATGTAAAGAAAACAAAAATTCTCACAAATGGACCAATGAGTAACATTATGATAAATGGAGAAAAGTTTGAAGTTGTCAAAGACGACATTTTGCTCAGATCAGCTATCAACATTTGTGGAAGCAGCAATCAAGAAATCAAATGATGTGTTGCATTAGGCAAGTCTGCTGCACAAGTGTTCAAGAGCAAAGATATCACTTTGAGGACTAAGATGTGCCTGACTCAAGCCAGGGTATTTTCCATAACTTCATACGCATGTGGAAATTGGACAATGAATAAGGAAGACCATAGAAGATTTGATGCATTTGAGTTATAGTGTTTAAGAATATTGAAGTACCATAGACTGCCAGAAGAACAAGCAAATCTGTGTTAGAGGAGGTACAACCAATATGCACCTTAGAAGCCAATATGCCCAGACATGTCGTCAGGAGGGACCAGTCCCTGGAGAAGGACTCATGCTCAGTAAAGTGGAGGATCAGTGAGAACGCGGGAGACCGTCAATGAGATGGATTGGTACACTGGCAGCAGCAATGGGCTCAAGCATAGCAATGATTGTGAGGTTGGCATAGGACTGGGCATTGTTGCGTTCTGTTTGCATAAGGTTGATAAGAGTTGGAACTGACTTGACAGCACCCAACAACATATTATAAAGTAGAATGCAAAACTTTTTAAAAGGTGAAAAAGGTAGGCTGGAGACAATTTTGTCTCATTTATGGTAGGTTGCTTTGGACTATGCTCTCATACTTCTGAGGATACAAATCTACATTCTGGGACTGTTGGTATCCTTTAGTAGAAACATCTGAGTAGCTTTCGATTAAAATGACCTCATGGGCCTGTATCTCCTCCCCCAGAGGTCAGCAAACCTGTGGGCTTTGTCAGCAGGAAGCAGTCATGTGACCCAGATAGTGGGAATTTGCCTTAAGTCAGTGTCTCTGTTCTGTCCTTTATGCCTAAAGGAAATAGATACTAAGAGACATCTTGGCAAATGTTTTCCATTTATGGTATGTTTTCACTATGTACAAATGCCAGATTTACATCTTGGTGATAATATGGAGTTCACTAGACACATTCACATCCTTATTGATTGATTGATGGTAGAGTCTGCATGTAAATTTGAGGCATCATATATAAATAAGTGCACTATAGTAAGAACAAGCATTTTGAAGGAGTAGAGCTCTTATCCCATTAGATCATCATAGCAGCCCTAGGAGCAAGGTTTATAAGTCCTAGTTTTCAGACCAAAAGCTGACCCCAGACCTTGTGAACCTGGGCCAGTGTTTCTCCCCACCATCCCTTAAAGTCTAGGAAGATGAGAGGTTTCTCTCCCTTCCCTCTCCATGTCCTACCCGCCTCTCCAAAAGCCTGTGTGACTTGATTCTCTTCCCCTAGGGAGCCTACTACACACAGCCGGTGTATGCTGCCCAGCCCCATGTTATCCACCACACCACGGTTGTCCAACCCAACAGCATTCCTTCTGCCATCTACCCAGCACCTGTCGCTGCCCCCAGGACCAATGGTGTGGCCATGGGCATGGTGGCAGGTACCACCATGGCAATGTCAGCAGGTGAGGACATCTACTTCAGTGTCCAGCCTTTTCCAGGTACTCATGACAGCATGGAGAACATAATCCTAGATTCAGCCGCAGCGTAGCATGAGAAATCTTGTGCTGGGGGACCTGGAGCCCAAAGAAACAGACCCTCTGAATTTGTCTTTAGGGATGAAGGGAGCTTTCATGGAGAAGGGCATGTTAACACTGGGCCTTAAGGAGTGAACAGATACATGAAAGGACACGGAAGTCCAGGTAGAAAGGACTTAAGTATGTTCACTAACATCTTACACAGGTGCTAGAATGGAAATGATCCAGGCACTTAGAAAACGGTTCAAGTACTGGAAGGGTGGCTGGAGCATTTGGCAAAGGTAGATAGTGATGAAGAGTCATGAAATACCTTTAGGTAACAGGGAGCTAGTGAAAAGGGTTTAAGCAGGGAGGGGTGGGCTTGGTTTAAGCATTCTTTCTGGCTGCTGAGTGGAGATAGGAAACAAATGGGCCGGTAAGGGGGTCGTCAGTTTTGTTTATGGAGAGAGAGTGACACTCGGACCCAGTAGCAGTAGAGAGCCCAGAAAAGAGGGCACAGAGAGCAGTGCTCCTTAGCATACAGGCTGGTAAGAACCTGATCAGTAATCAAGTGTAAGGGATGGGAGAGGACTTGTCCAGGATGAACTCCTCTTTGAGGGTGGGGGGACAGCAGAGTGACAGCAGATTTAGGGAAGTCTAGATAGGTTGACATCCAGGGGGACGTAACTGTTGGGCATTCACTGACAATTCACATAAGACGACAAGAGCCCAATGAATAACCTTTGATACCCAGGTATTAAAGAATCAGCTGAGTCATGATTAAAGAAAAAGAATACAAGACTGGGCAGGCTGTGGGAGTTGGGGACGTGTTCTGCCCCTAATGTGATGGTGGTTGTGAAGACCTCACTCCCCAGATCAGGCCAGCAAGCCTTGTCCAGGTCCTGGGACCACAGAGAGATAGATAAGAAAGAGCCCTGCCTTTCACAACCCCCCGGGTTAGTCAACGGGAAATGGACTCAGTATGATATTTGTAACCTCAAGAAGCATGCAAAGACCAAGTAAAGAGGAGACCACCGAAGTAAAGGGATCCTTTCTGCCCCTCAAGCATAGTAAAGTGAGGAAGGACAGACAGCAGATCATCAGGCCAGCCAGAGGGGTGCTCTGGTACTGGGTTTACTTCTCTTTGTCTGGATGCCCAGGTACCCTGCTGACTACACCCCAGCATACTGCGATCGGGGCACACCCTGTTTCCATGCCAACATACCGGGCCCAAGGAACCCCTGCGTACAGCTATGTGCCGCCGCACTGGTAAAGCCTGCAGCCCACCCAAGTGAGTGGGGCCCAGGGCGGGAGAGGTGTGGGGGTGAATAAAGAGAGGAACTGCTTCAAACCCCTAGCTTGAGTCTGGAGCATAGGAGTCAGCAGGTGGTAGGCAACAGTTATCAGTTCCTTTCCTGCTCCAAGTTCAGTGGTTTCACTCTTACAAATAGCTGTCCCCTTACAGATATTCTAGATCCTTCATAGGCTAGCTCATCATCCTGACAGTAGCTCTAGAGCAAGGACTCTTAGTGCATTTTTCTATAAACACAAAGGTCAGCATCACATAATCATAGAAGTGAAACTGGGACTTGAATTCCATTCCTTAGAATCTTAGTTCTCTGCTCTTTACCTCATAATCTTCAGACTTCTTGTAGTTGTGGGCCCCATTCTTCAAGTGAAATCTAACCTAAGTCAGGTGTTAGCTCTGATTGGGGCAGGGTGAGGCAGCTGCAGGGATGTCTCTCAGGGTGAGACCCTCTCCCTCATCATCACCCACCCCGCCCACTGCCTCCTCCAGGAGCTCTTCATGCAAAAAGACAGCCAGCGCTCCACTTAGGGGTCCTCCCTAGTTGAGGGAGGGCCAGAGGCTTCCTGTCACTAATGGCTTTTCCCTTCTTCCCCCAGACCTGGAGTCACACATTGTATGCAACTACTCAAGTCTTACAGGTGCTGGAGCAGTTCCCTAGCAGCACCACCTCTATTTGCAAGAAGAGACAACGGAAGTGCAAGGGTCACTTTATGCATCTTTAGTGGTTTTGGTTTTTATTTTTAATTTTTGTAAAAGCTGCTTTTTCTAATCTCCTGCCTCTCCCTGATTGCCCCCTGTCTTAGCTGGCTGCCCTTCCAGCTCCCCAGCACATCCTCCTACCTGGCCAGCCACATCCTCTCTGCTCTTCTTTTCTCCCCCAAGTGCTCAGTCCCAGGGGATCCCAGTCTAGTGGCAGCAGCCAGTGGGGTTTATTGCAGTGGTTCAGTTGAAGGCTCATTTCATTTGAAGAGCATAAATGTATGTGGCCCTCAGGTCCAGGGTAGGAACTCAGAGCTGTTGAGCAGGCCATATATATTTCTGGGGTGTTAGTTATTTTGTGTGTGGGGTGGGGGTGGGAGCGGGTTGGGTGGGTTTCCTAAGCAAGATTAGTTTAGGACATTTCCATGTCCTGACACAAATGAAGTATCTTCTGAGAACCATTGCAACAAACCAAGAACAAAAATCACCTGATTATGTAAGAGTGTTAAAGTAGCTTGATGCAGGAGGCTGAGCACCTGGGGAAACCAGCTTTTTCCTTGGGAGAACTTGGGAAAGGGAGAGGAGGGGAGGGAAGGGCATGGTGGGAAGAGAGGGAAGGAGGGGGAAAGGGTGCTTGCTTTGCTGGCTTGGTTTGATAGGTCTCTGGCCAAATTGGTCTGGACCTTCTGATTTGCACAGTGGTATAAATTGACCTGGCACTTCCTCATAAGGTGATTTTGACCTCAGACATGCCAAGCAGCTGCAGGGTGGTTGGGACTTCAGTGTCCCAAGACCTTGGAAAGCCAGGTGCCCTGTGTAACCCAGTCCTCGGCCTCGGAGCCCTCATGGACCCTCTCAAATGAGGAGCTTCCTCCTGATTGGAATGGGAACCTATGGCATTTCTCTCCCTTTCCCTCAGCCCTTCCCAGTGCCAGGGCTCACCTGTCTGTCCATGGGGCTGGCAAGTAGGCCAACCTCTTGGTTACCTTGTGCCATTCATGGCAAAGTAAAGGGACCATATTCCAGGATGGTGCTGAAGGTCATGATAGTGAAGGGAAAGCAATAGCAATAAACATTTCATAGACTGTGGAGCTGACAGGACCTTAGCAATCATCGCATCCATTCCCCTGTTTGATAGATGAGGGAGGCCCAGAGCCCAGGGCAGGACTTGCCTTGACCTCACAGTAAATTAGCATTAAATGCAGCCTCCCTACCTTAGGGGCATGTTGCCAACAAAAATTTACCTAAGCATGGGTTGGCTTGGTTTTAAAAGAAATAAGTCAGCAGCAGTACCTATACCTGGCAAACTCTGGATAGTCTCTGGGCTTTTGTTTCTGCTCTTCTCCTTCATGGACTCCAAAGGCAGGGTTTGAAGACTGGGCAGAGGCCATGTGGGGGCAAATGAAGAAATAGCATTTGGAAATTACGTGAAGACATCTGCAACTTTTGTCCTATTCTTGACTCCAACCCTATGAGAGGAAGCAAGTGGGCTGACTGGAAAGGAGAGGCTATGGTTTTAGGACACTAGCCCTGGTCTGGAGAGGAGAGGAGAAGAGAGGAAGCCCAGGAGACAAAGGCTTAACAGGGACAAGGATGCCCAGCTGCTCTCAGCCAGGAACCTGTTTGGCCCAGTACTAGCCTCCTTCCCTCCAGTGCTCAGGTGGGATAGGAACCTAGCATTTGACTATAGAAAATGGGATCATTAACAACATTTGGGACTTTCAAGTATCTATTTTTATTTTAAATTTATGCAAACTTGGGCATAAATTCCCACCCCTACCTCCTAGGTCTCTCTAAAGGAGGAGAAAGTCAGGACCCTTGGGCTAGAATGACCTCAGAAGCTGCCCATCCCTTCCTAGGACTGCAGGAGCCCAATAACCTTGGCGCCGAGCCTGGGGTTTGGGGGCCCACCCTCTTGGCCCTTTCAGGGAGCTCCAGGATCAGTAAGGAAAAATGAACTGTTCTAAATGGTCTGTTTAGTTTTGGGATGCTGAAGGGCTTTGGTTTTGAGACAACAAAGTTTCCAGTGTTAATCCATTTTTTTTTTGCAAATACCTCCTCCCACCTGCCTTGTTTTTGTAAGGGTGGGTGAAGGTTATTTTAGATTATGTCATATGTGTTTGAAAAATGCCAAAATAATAATACTGATGATAATACTAGGAAACCTCTGCATTTGTCAGGTGCTTCATAATTTTCAAAGCACTTCATAGCCTTTAATGTACTGCCCCTGAGAGAGAGGCAGGGTCAGAGTTACTATACCCATTGGACAAATGTGGAAACCCAGATCACGGAAGGAATGGGGACTTGCTGAAAGGGAGCAGAGTGCTGGTATCCTGACCAGTGTCCTGAGCCCAATTCCTGCACGTGGGCTTGGGTAGAACCCTGGGGGTGGGGGGTGGGGGGCAGGAGGAGACCTAGGAGTGACCTTGTCACTTTGCTCTTTCTGTAAGTAAAAAGCCAACATTTTAGTACCTCACAGTTCACAAAGCAATTTCACGTACATCATCTGGTTTAATCCTTCCAACAACTCTGAGAACTAGAGATTAATCCTCTTGGTTAATTTATGAGGAAACTGAGGCTCAGAAAAGTAAAGTGATTTAATTAGTAGAGCCACTTGAGTCCCAGTCTGTCCGCTGTCTTTCCTTCCGCTCTGACACCACACACCCACTCACAAACGGAAACACCTATGTTCTGCAGCCACTAGTAGCCCCTTGTATGTAATTCAGAAACAAAGAGATACCCCAAGATTAAACTAAAGGCACTGAAAGGCCATGGTCTGGAAGAGCCTAGACCCAGCGCTCTTTCAGTGTGAAAAGAGTTCAACTGGCCTCACCCTCTTGCCTTGACTGAGATCCACAAGCCTGGCCAAGCTTAGGGAGTCACTGCAAAGGGGAATGAGCCCAGGGGAACAGGGGCAGTAGTGTGCCCTCAGTAAGGTCACAGGCATGTGTGTTAGGAGGTATCATTGGCAGCATCCAAAGATTCTAAATAGCTCGGTGGTCAGACTGGAGAGGTCAGAGCTGGGAGGGTACAAGCCAGCTGAGAGGGCGTGTCTACAGGGCAGAGTGGCAGAGCTGAAGCAGCACACAAACCCCTATCTCCGTCCCCTCCACTGCGTTTCTCTATGTGCCCCAAGCATGGTGTCCAGGGTAAGGGACAGACGTGGGTCCAGATACCAAATCCTCTTGGCTTTCCCCCATTTTTACCTGATTTCCTTCCTCACCAGCCTGGGACCATGGAAGCTTGAGTCTGAAGGGTGGACTGCCCCCAGTTGGTGAAAGCATAACACAATCATTTGCCACATTTTGTGGGAGGAAAGTATATTCCATTTCTTCTTCCTGAGACAGGACAGTTGCTGATCCTTCTGTCCCTCTTGGCAGTGACTCCACAGTTTTTATTCCTTTTCCCAGACACACTTACTCTCTGTTGTATTCAACAGGGAAACACACACACATTGATCCAGAACTTTCTCCATATACAAAGTACTTAGACATTGATTGCCAAAATCCCCATTTTATAGACGAAAAAAACCCACAAAACTATGGCATAGGGACTTTCCAAAGGTCACTTGGTTTGTAAATGAAAGAGATAAGATTTTAACTATTCAATCATCTGCTGTTTCTGCTAGCATCTGCTGGGTCTCTGTGCAGCATGGCAAGTGTAAAGAAGGTGTGACCCTCTGACAGCCCCAGAGCTGAGGAAGGCTCAGTAGAGACTAGGGAAGCTTAGTCCTGACTGAATAGATTTATAGAGCTTATACTTTGGAATAGGACCTGTGGAGTGCTCTGGGGACATAGCCAGCTGGCTGCACAGGGAGGATGAGAATTGGCAACAAATGTCCTAACTTGTACAAAACACTTTGGGGTCATGATGCCTAGGACTGAAAACACTTTCAGTGGCAGCCCGAGATATCCTTTTCATTGCAAGACTCATGTCCCTAGGCCATCTGCACACCTTTACTTTCTGACCCCAGAAAATTTGGTCACTGGACTGGACTGGCAGATTACGGGGACTTGGTGTGGCCCTAAATGGCCAAAAGCATTCTGGACTTGCTTTTGCCATGGGCGAGAACCAGACCTAGAGAGACAACGAATAAATTTCATACATCCCTATCCAACTCTTTCCCCTGGCTTCACCCAAATTGTTCCAGATTTAAGATATTCTACTCCCAGAGAATTGCAGGGACTTCTTTGGAGTGGCTTAGTTTGTCCTGAGGGGCCTTAAGGAATTAGTCACACAGAGTATGATAAAAATAGGGCAGGCCC